ATAATTTTGCATTGTTGCTCCTGGCAATCAGCGGAATGAAGATATGTGAAGACGTGTAATATCCACGTCGTATCGCTGTAGCAAATTTGTGATGTACTGTTGTCTTCATCAACCTTATCACATGTAATGTACCGAATGAGAAGTTACAACGAATGGGACGACTATAAGCAATTGTTGTGACCAATCTCGCTCGCGTGATGGGCACGAATGCGACAGTCTGATTGGCATGAAGGAGTCGAGGATCTAGAAGGAATTGTTTTAAAAAAAAGTAAATTTTAGAATAGCAAGAGTAATGATGAACTGAACTCACATATGAGTCAGTGAAAATCGAAAGTGTAAAGTAGAAAGCGTAAACGTTGAGACGCCGATGGTGTCTACACGTCATGCCGAGGCACGACACAAGAGAGATGGAGAAGGCACTGGGAGCAGACTGGGTGGCGAGCGATGGTGGTGAGTGGATGAGACCGCTGGGCGTGGGTGTGGTCGGGAGAGTGGTGAGTGGCGGGGGAATTAGGGAGGCGTGCGAAGGAGGCAGGGCCGAAAGGATGGCGGTGGATGAGATGAGGTGGGTCTTCAGAGTGGTGGTGATGGTGCTGCGAGCAGATTTGCGACGGGGTCGATGTCGGTGGGCGATGTACGGCAGGCCGGTGGTACTCGCGGTCGGTTCTGCTGCGCGGCTGTGGTTGGCGAGGGCGATTTTCGTCGGAAGGCTGTGGTGTAACGGGGGAGGTGGTTCGGCGAGTCGGGTTGGTGTGCGCGGAGGACGAGCTAGAAAGTGGAGTGGTGGGAACGTTAGTACAGCAATGTGACGGTAAGATTTGGAGGTGCCGCAAAGCGTGGTGCGGCGGGCAAAATTGTACTGCTGGGCGTTGGTTCGGCAGGCGATGAAGCGTCGGAGGCTGTGATGATGTGAGTCGGTGGTGCGGCGGGGCGGTGGTATAGGGATTTGCGTGAGGAGTCTGGTTCGCGGGCGGTGCGACACGAGGGCGCGGTGGTGCTGCAAGATGGCGCGATGAGGCGCTGGTTCTGCGAGTGGGTGGCGCGGCGGGAGATTTGTGGCAGTGGCGGTGGGACGAAGGTGCGGCAGGGGCCTTGTCTGCAAAGGACGGTGCTATGAGGGCGGTGGTTCTGCGGGTGGGTGGTGCGACAGGAGTTCGGCGGGGGCGTTGGTTTCTGCGGGCGACGATGCGGCAAGGGCGGTGGTGCTGAGGCGGCGATGGGCGATGGGGGATGGTGCTCGAGTAGGCGGTTCGGCGAGGCGATGGTGCGGCGGGGCGGTGGTGCCCTGTGTGGCGGGTTGGCCGAATTCCGCGGGGCGCTGCGCGTGTGACGGCGACAAAGCCAGGAAGAGCGACGCATGGGTGGCGGGCGAGGGCGGTGGTGGGTGGCGGTGGGCGGTGGGCGGGGCGGGGGGCCACCAGCGTGGAAAGGCGAGTCACGGAGGCACGCCGCGCCGCAGCTCGGCTGAAATGCGCTGCTCTCATCACCGCCGGCCGGCCACCATGCCGCGCCGACTGGTCCCGCACAGCGCATCGGAAACGGCTTTTTTGGCGGTGTTCAGATTTGAGAAAATTACTCTTACAATTGCAGTCTTCCGGGCAGGATTTACGCGACCAATTATCAATGTTTTGTTCAAAACTCTATCGGTTGACAATCTACATAATATACCAAATTCATGATTTACTGTTGCCTTCAACGTTATCACATGTAATGAACCGAATGAGAAGTTACAACCACTGGGACAATTATAAAGCAAATTGCTGTGACCAATCACGCACTTTACGTTATCAGGAGTATAAATATACATATTAAACAACATACATATTTAAATTAATCAAACTGAAAAACTTAATCTGTGTTACAAATTTAAAAAATATCAACTGAAACTAACTTTTTATCAGTATGCAATCTTAAGAAGATAATGAAGAAAAAACTTACAGCATTTTTATCAGTTCTAGAATAGAATTATTGCATTACATGATTTTATGTAGAGTACAATTTGTTGGCACTCGTTTCTCCCCAAAACCGTTTTCCTATTGTCTCTACATCATTTGTAATATTTCACCTTCATAATATAATAAAGACCCAAAGTGTTCCTAATCCATCAAGATGCAGTTGTGATACATTGAACAGCAAGAAATATATTAACCCGAAATCTTCGTATGCATTTAACAAGCCTTTAACTATATAGGTGTTGTGGTGCGTTATCGTTGGCATTTTTCATGAAATAATTATAGACGTTGTCATTTATAGACATTACTATTGTTGGCAATGACGTCTATAATTATTTCAAGCCTTTAACTATTGTTTACCTACGTTGGAAGCATGTCCAAATATTTTTCATCTTTCTCTTATTTTGAGACTTTCTTTAGTTCTCTAATGCGGATAACAAAGAACACCCCTTTCATTTTCTCTGCAGACAGACGAAGTCATTTTTCTGTACGATATGCAAATGCTCTCCCATTTACAACCTTCACTTTCACACATTGTTTTATTAGTCTTAATTAGTATCTAATGTTGAGAGGAAGTAGGATCATACAAGTCATAAATTGCTCCGCTCTTTTTCAGAACATTTCTTTCTGAGTATCACAGACAACCTATGATCACCAGTACAAGAAACAATAAGACCAAGACCGAAATATGTAGAGTAACATCAATGGTGCCATTTTCACTAGGAATACAATATCTCTAAGCTCAGGACTTAAAGTGAAACTGAGACGAAAATGTTTATTTATGTACTAAATTTTCCCTGATATATTCGAATTCTGTATAGAAAAAATAGAGTCACATATTTTCAGTACAGGAAAACACGTCCACTCTTTATAAATTTACCATACCCTTAGTGAATTCCTTTTGATTTAAATCAAGAGGCATAAAACCACACTTCGTTAGTCGCTCAGTGCACAATTGACAAAAATCATTCCATCAATGACACAAGAAATTGTGAGTATATTGACAAACATATTTAAAACATTCGGTATTTGTAAAATTGGATCAATAATTTATCCATCAAGAAAATTTGCATTTTACATAACTCCATTCTTACAATGAAATTCTCCGACGAGTTTTGGAAAAACATACAAATCAATTTGCGATCGTTTAGAGAACACGAAATTATTAATAAGAATTGTTTTCTAGAAAATAATACAAATCAATTTTAGATATGGATCTTTGTCATGACACTGATGCAAAGTGTTAATTCATCCATGGAATTCTAACTTTTCTTAACCGAAAGAAATTCGTCCATCGTTGTACCATCTAGTCGTTGTGCATGTTTGCAATAAATCTAGAAGTGGTTTCTCTCATGAATATATTCCTGCATATCTCAGTCTCTCGTTTTCCGGCATTGCATGTATATTTCATACAATGTACAAACCTGTTTCATGATATATGACGGTCGATAAGCAAAGGTTCTCAGAAATTCTGAGAATAAGACGCTCTTCTAACACTTCTGCTCGTTGACCAGGAGTAATCACCTTCCTTTTCTGTGTTATATTATCAAGGTCAAATTTTTAGGCAAAGAAAAACTGAAATTTTAAAAATATTTGCTTGATTTATTCAGAATGAAAAACTTTTGAATATTAAAAGTGTCTTTGCCATTTCTTAAACTTCGTTCTGGAGATTAGGCTGGAAAATGCAATTTTATCAAAAGATTTCGCATTAGTGTAATGTTAATTATATGACAGTTCGTAGTTGCATACCAAACAGTTTAGGGATGGCAGAATATCCGATCTACCAAACCGATCTATCAAAAATATTTAAACTACTTGCTTCACAGTGAAGAGGCTATTTGTAAAACAGCTGAACTTCAAAAATCGTAATTATTTATTATCTTCCAAGAATGATTATCCTCATGCCATTTATTGTGTGTGTTGCTTCTATGCGGCATACATGTACGGTGAAACTAACGATTGATTTGTTAAAATAAACTTAATTTAAAAAAAGACTTAATATGATAGTAACAAATAATGTACTTCAGATTCCGGGTCAATAACCCCCATCTCGATAAGGTTTTTGTCCAGATTCCCTGATTCATTGAGCAAATGCTGAGATGGCCCCCGTTTTGTTGAACTCTTCTTTTTGCTTGTAATGGTAAGAGTAGAGGTAAGGGCGAGTTGCTATTTTGTTAGCAATGCAGATATCTTACTTAAAATTCGTGTACCGATGCAAATAAGTTTTCTGTAACTCAGAAACAAAAATGACTATTTTTAAAATATTGCTAATCTTGCGATTTTTAAAAGTTATTTTTAAAATTTATTTTTATTTATGGTAAGCGTTTATTCATCTTTCAAATATTTATAGTTAAAATGATGGGAAGAGATTCTGGAACACAAGAAAAGGTGCGCAGATAATCTTTTTACCCTACATCACATACAGTTTTTACTGTTTTTGCTGAATAGATCTAAATCTAAACTTTCCAAAAATCCTTGATTAGATGTTTATTAAGGACTTTATTCGCTGCTTTATTCGGCATTCTTGAGAATGACGAATACCTCATGAATTTCGCTTTTGCGCCTTAAAATGTTTCATCTATCACTATTTCAGTCGGGATAAATGTACAGGGGTGTCCAAAATAAATCATTTTAAATATATATTTTTGACACAGACTTGTATTTATAGAGAATAATTAGCCGAATACCGGACGTGAAAAAATGTATGTTTGCTGTAATATTCTTGCTTCTTGTTCCTTCTTTAAAAGAAGATATCTTTATTCAAGTTATTTCATTATTAAATTCAATTGCAGAAAATACATAACCATAAAATGGATGAATATATTCATAATATACAACGTAGAGGTGATAGAACATGTCACAATATTACCGTATGCTTTCGAGCGATCAATTAATGTGTACGTCCGTTGTGGAGCTCGTCAATAACTTTTTCTTCTGTCGAGCCAACGCCTTTCCTCATTGAGGGCGCACCACAGCCAACAGCCTTCCGTGCCTATTATCGCTGGTTTTCGACCTTAGAATCAATACATTGACGCGTTCGATATGTTCCTATCGCGTGGCAGTCGCTGCTTCCGGTTCACGCAAGAAAAACAAGGCTGACGACTTGAAGGTTGAAAACAATGAGCTCACCCTGGTTTGAGAGGTGTTGTAAGAATCACCATTCCGGTTGTCATCGTCCTTCATCTGCAGACTCTTCATCCGGCCGCCATTGAATGTCTCCTTCCTTCGCCTGTTAAATAAGAAATGGAATAGTTAATGCAAATTGTGTTACGAAGGTTAAACACACAGAAAATATATATTCAGTGTTTCGTATTGAGAAACATTTAATTAAAAAATTAACTTATTTTGTGTCATCCCCTCACTTTCATCCCCTCGCCCTCTTTTCCCTGTCTTTCTCTCTTTGCCCGTAATTTTCAGCTACTAGAACTAAGTTACCTACTAATGTTATCGCTCGAAGTTTTAATCAGTGGAATTTCCTAGAATTACACACGTTTAGGCTAAAACTGTCATTTCTGAGATTAAACAAATTTTAACTAACTTGTTTTTTATACAAAGATTTCCGTTCACAATAGATCGTTATGAAGGCTCGAAGCATACTGCAGAAATTCATATTCATCTATGAGCAAGAAAATATTATATATTTGCTCACCTCAGTGCCGTTCTTGTTTTCAATAATGAGCATGCTATACATTAGCAATTAGCACATTGCACTGTACTGGGAACGCAACTTCATTCAATGGCATCAGAGCTCGCTTCTGTTTCGGAGCATGTATTCCCTTGCTGCTCATTCACTTGTTTACTGACATCGCCCTCCCCTCTGCTCTACGAAGCATCTGCCTTATGCCATGGAATCTAATCCATATATCGACATATTTCACAACTCGCCTGAATATACAAGTAAATTGCAGCGAAATGTTGAGGGTGAAAGTATGTATTACCTTCTAGAGTATTTGTAGACAAGAAGGATGCATCTTTCTCAAGAAGGGAGAGGACTATTTTCGATTCGGTTCCTTATTTATCTAATTATCAGTTCCCCCATGGAGGCGCAGATCTACAAACTGCCTAAATGGCCGACAAATGAAGCGAAACTACATTTTTATGAAAAATATTCATTTGCGGCCATTGCATATTTCTTGTGATATACAAATATTTCCTTATCATACTCGTAATATTGTATAATTAATAGTGTTCATTGCTTGATTGGTGCAATATATAATGGAAAAGAGAAGGGTACAAGTATTTAAATATTTCAACATTTAAGGAATCACCTGTCCCTGAGATATAGGCTATAGTTTCGAAACGAAAGGTCAGTAAAACCACAAAACATTTGACATCAATTTCCCAACCAAATTGTAAAGAGAAGGAATGCATAATTCTCTCCAAAGAGCTTCCGCGTAAGTATTCCTTATTATTATTATTGACACAGATACCTATCAGAATAGCAGGTAACTGGGAAGGTAGGTGTCTAGTGAGAAACAGGAGAAAGTCTCGTGTATGCAACAATATATGAGATGGTCGAAGTCATTAAATGGAAGACGAAACGAGACTTCGTTTTTGATATACATGCCACATCAGGATGTTCAACTCTCTACGCCACACGGCATAGCACGGAGGAGACAAATGATCCAATCTGATGATGTCTACATTTGAGAACGAGGTAAGTGTAATTGCAATGTGTAGTGCGTATGAGAAGTTTCTAATAAAATTAAATGTTAAATTACCATAAAGAATTATCAAGTTATCTTGTAGGGAGATGTTCAGGTACTAGACGTGGTAACTGCATCCTCAATTAATACATTCATTCGAGATAACGTGTATGTTTGTTGGATTTCCAGATAATAATGCCGTTGAATTGCTGATTATGGTGAGGCGTTTCTCACCAGCATAAATGAACTTACATGTTTGTACTTACATGAATCTTAAAAACTGAAAGTCGCAAAACAAGTGACATATAATAAATAGTTTGTTAAGTCATTATAACCCAAAAACGTGAAATTTTGAGAATGACAACGAAATCATGTAAATTGACATATATAATAGAACTCGATATCATTGGTTTTGTAAAAAAACCTTCTTACTTAATTTTTGATGAAAAATCAATGTCAGTAGCGTGTTCGCGGTTAGAAAAATAACACGCTTTAATCTATCCTTGACCAAACGTATCTCTCGAGAACGAGAAAACACCAGATCTAGATTCGCCGCTCCGATACGAGAGGAAAGACCCAGTGCGCGCGATTTGTTAAGAAAGAGATCAGGCGGCGACAGCCTGCGAATTCTCAGCGTGTTTTTTCCTGCGCTCGCCCACAAATCAGCAAAAACCGGTAACTCTATAGTTCAATTAGTTGCTGGAGAGCCTGGAACCGGCGACTGCGGCTGCAGAGGCGCGCGACCAGGCACCCCTCAATAAATTTCGATCTCTGGCGGCGGAGGCGGCGGCGGAGGCGGCGGCGGAGGCGGCGGCGGAGGCGGCGGCGGCGGCCGGTGGCCGGTGGCGGTGGCGGAGCAGGAGAAGGAATCCCGAAAGCAGGAACAAGTCACGAACGAAGGCCCCGGCAGGTCATAAAGCATCGACAGGCGCCGCGCCGCGCCGCGCGGCTAGACCACGAGGCCCGGCTTGCTGGCTCGGGGCGGGGGGGGGGGGAGGAGGAGGTTGATGGAAGGCGTCGATGTTGAGCCGCAGTGAGATGGAGTGGAATCGGATGAGGGGCGTTCGACCTAGGAAGGTGGGGGTAGGGTCAAACTAATTTAAATGCATTTCGAAAAATTTGACGAAAGAAAGAAATGTTTGTCGCCAGACTACTTGGTATTAGGAAACTAATGGAAATTAACATTAATAATTATATTAGTTTTAAAATATTATTTCAAAAATAAAAACTGTGTTTTTTTTCAATAAAAAGGTTTTTAATAAGTTTATTCAATCTGATTTGATAAAAGACAAGGCCATTTCTGATCGCCCAAACAACCCCGGGGTCACTACTAGTACAACACATCATGTTAGAAGTGTTAATCATTAAATTGCACCGTATTATTGGATCAAGAAATACAGGGATATAGGCTAGCGACGATGAAGAAAAACACGATGGTTATATTTCCGACGGTGCTGGCAAGATGTGCCAAAGAGCTAGAGCGAATTAAGGACTGTCTGGTCTGATCCATCGTTTCATGGTTTCGTCTAGCGAATTTTACGGCGGATGCCAGTATAGAACCTAAACAGTGGGCACGAACCGGACACATCCGTCCTTCCTGACCAATTCTCAGCACCATCCAAGAGATGCGCAATTTCTCTACATGACCCATGACCTATTGACAGAGAAAACCTTCCGCTAGTGCCTGAGGCCCGCGGACGTCGCGGCCAGATGCGAGTCTTCTATGACATTATGTGCGTCGTCGTGAAATAATAGTTAAAAACCGAAAAAATTTAAGTATCCTTAATATAAGAGTGAATCTAACATCAGAGAAGTTAGATTTGAGAGGCAGAAAGATGGATAGACCGACGGTCAGACAAACCGGAGGACAGACAGACAGGCGGCCGGATATACGCACGGACGGGCAGATATATGTCGGACGGTCGGACAGACAGACGGACAAATAAGCAAACGGACAGAGAAGGAGAGACAAATCTACCATCCAAGTGGACCAAGTGACTCGCGCAGAAGGAGGTGTCCGCGAGGACGCGGCGGAGAGACGTGCGTCGAAGACCGATGAGGCGGGAAGGCGCTGGGCAGGCGACAACGCCTCCGCACAGCGCGTTCATTACTGCTCGCGACCCGCGGGTCACGTGACCTGCCTGCGCCATCTCGCCACTGACCACGGGCCAGCGGCGTCTGGCCCTACGCGGCGCCGGCGGCCGCGGCGGCGGTGTCGAATTTCGCAAGCGCTAAAGGAAACGCGTACCTTACATCGGCACCTTCTATGGAACCTAGGTAACGGTGCCAGCGAGGAACACGGAAATGCTTATTCACAGGTTGTAAATGAACGAGCCTAGTGTTTTACGTGGAGGTAGTGCTGAGGATTGAGGAACTAATGATGCGGAGGCTGCGGAGCCGAGCATGGAGGGTCGTGGGTTGGAGCACGGTGTATATGATTTGTATTGTGGAACGCGGAGGCAAAACGCCTTCTACGTCATATCATCAACATCTGCCAGATAAAATTCATATTCAGTCGGCTTCCGTACATGTTGTCGTGTATTTTGGGAATGTGAATTTCCATGTGAGTTACGACACAATATTCGGGGAAAACACACACTTATAGTACCCAGACCAATTCGATGGCAGAAAAAAATTGTATGAATCAAATGCTATCACCGTAATTTCTGCAAACACCTCTTCACATGAGCTTGAAATACTCGCATAACCTTGCCTCTTTATTTATGAATCAGTAGCTTTTATTCAAAATTGAAATACTTGAGGGTGAAACATTTTCGTCAAGTACAATAATAACTTTCATTACAATATCCGTCGTCAAAATCAAATTGTTGAGATGTTAGTATCAACAACTTCAAAAATCAGTGATAGATAACTACAAGAAATTCCAAATATTACACTTTACACTATTTTACAAATCATTGCCCGATAACATTTTACAATTAACATCAATACACAAGCGTAAGTGCGAAGAGGGTTTTTTTCAGTTTATCTTTTTTAGACAGTCACTAGTAAAAGCGGTTCTTTCACGCCGTGGGTAGCGTGCTAAAAGTTCAATTTCTAGCACTAGCGCTAAAAGTGAGACATTGCTCTAGTGGTCATATACATCGCAACAAAGAATGCAAAAAAAAAAATTATAAAAATAAATTCGCCTAACCATTAGTTACTACTAACCGTCATTTATCATTAAGTGATTTGCATAGTTGAATAAATATAAAATGAAAGTCACTAAGGCTGCTAAAAAGCAGTGCTTGGACGTGTGATAAAAGTCGATTTTATTTTTGCTGGTAGGATTGTGCCACTCGACCACTCGTCCTCGTGTTGCGACATGTTCTATTTGCAAAATAAAACGTCACCCTTACAGCTCGTATCATAAGGAACTAATAAAAACAATTCGACTATTCTGTCCATCACAACGAACATATTTGAATACTAATGTATATAAATTAGTTAATACATGAACTCAATAATTTTAAGAGACTAATTATAACTGTAACAAGTACTTACTTGAATAGGTTTTTCGATCAGTTGCCCTTGACCCATTGAACAAATGCCGAGATGGCTCTTATTTGCTTCCGGGCAGTAAGTGTAGCTTACAATATGCATTTTAGTTGAGCTTCTCCATTGCTTCTTTGAGAGAAGAGTAGCGCTTTGTGTAATTTGTTTCTCAGTAATTCCATAAAATCAAAATTGACGATCGTTTGCCGATGCAAATACGTTTTCTATTTCGCGGAGCCCAAAATTCTGGTTCTCAAATAATGTCAACCATACTAGTTGGAACCTGTATTCATATTCAATTACGCATAGTAAAATAGTAGGACAAGGATATTAAACTCTGTCAACAGAAAATGGAAATCCGGGAAAGCGAACCAAAGCAGAATTGGGAGGACTATTTAAATCACTCAAAATAGTTACACGCTTTGAAGTGAAAAAACTGGAATGTGTGGGTCTCCTTATCGAATGATAACAAAGAGAACCGTTAGAAAGGTATGCGTAGGGATCGTGGCTGAAGGGAGTGTAGTCCTAGATCAATGTGGAATCATGAGAAAGAAGAAGATTTGAGAAACCTCGATGTTAAGAGGCGCAAAAGATAGAGAAGAGGGCAGTTAAAATAAAAGAAGCCATGGCAAAACAATGAGTGCCGGAGAGCTTATAGAGAAGAAGATTGAACACAGAAAACTTGCGGACATACTCTTCTTGCGTTCCAAAATCAAAATAGAAACAAGGAAGATGTTTCAGAATCTGCAGTCGTTCACATTTGTTTACCTTCCGGCGCGGCAGACTCTCGCTCGGGGTGAACGGCAGCGCGTCCAAGCGGCGGGCAGAGCAGGTCGAGGGGCAGCCGCTAATTATGATAATTAGCAGCTCAGGCTGACGTCAGCGCGGCGGGCCAGAGGCGGAGGGGGGGGGTGGCGGGCGGCAGCTGCGGCTGTACGGGCACGCGTGAAAATTCCGATCGAGAGCGAACGAGAGGTCGACCAGCACCGCGTCACATGCCGTTCGGCGACGGAAATTTCTTTGAATCGACAGCAGATTCCTCGCGTTCACGGAATAATACAGCTTGTATATATTATTTGTAGGACTAACAAATTAGAAGACTATTTAAGTTGGTTAAGAATATTGCCTGACTTTCGTGGGTGAAATGACTTACAGCGGCGAAAATATGGAGCAACGGCAGCGGGTTACAATCTACGTAAATCGCTAAGTGTTTTCACCATGTGGTTGTTGGGTTGTTGAGTATTTGGCTTCTGAAACCTTCCACGTAAATGTACTCACTTTGCGGCACAATTTTCTGAGCTCTCCCTTTTGCTGGTTGCGGTAGGAGTAGAGCTGGAGAATGGGTCACCATTTGTTCACAAAAACAAAAATGTATCTGTTGATTCGTTTACCAAAACACACATGTTTTTTGTAACTTGCAAGTGAAAATGTCTGTTTTTCAAAAGTTGCCAAACCTCGCTTTGTTGCTTCTTTTATTCATCATTCAGCATTTATGGTTAAAGGGTGGGAAAGGCATTCTGGGGCTCAAGTAAACATGCGCAGTTTGTACTTCTCCACCCATACATCACGAAAAGTGTTTACTGGTTTTTGACGAAAAATAATCAAATCCGCGTATCCTATATGAATTACCGCTCATAAAGCATCATCTATCGTAATTATTTTCACCATCAAGATCACGCTACCATCGTTCGCGTAGTGAAAGAGAAAGACAAATCACCATTCGTGTTCAGTTTACCATCTATTAGGGAGGACCAAAAACTGAAAAGTTCTTTCCTTGCCTGCGCTCGTAAATGAATATGGCTCTCATCAACAACAAAAAAAATACAATACAGAAATGCGTGATCTCTAAATAACATCTCTTAAAAAACAAAATTTTTGCAAATTTTTCGAAAATGCCTATGGTAATCCACTAAAAAAAAAAAAAAAGATGTGCAATATTGAGATATAAAATAAATAGAGGAAAAACAGAAGACGGTCAACAATCCAATGAGGAACATTTCGAAATATTATAAACAACACACATAACAGCTGTCTTTTAGTATATACGTTATTCTAAATGACTTTCTTTTCATTTGCTTTCGCCAATATTTTCAAAATGGCACTTCACTTTTTTCTTGAAATGCCTCCGCAAGAATAGTTTTCCGTCACCCCTCGCGTAAATGCGTTCACTCGTGATTTTTAATCCTACGAATCCAACGCTTGCTGCACATTAGATTAAAGGCCACAACAATGCAAGAGACGAGGAACCTACTATGGCGGCCGTAGGATTCGCAAATAAAATTTTCTCCACACGATAATGGAGCTATCTGGTTCGGGTAAACCGCTAGCGCTGACCGAAAGGTCGGCGCCGGGCCTCGCCATAAGCCTGGAAAGAAACAGCGACCTCCTGAAAATAGCGTGCACTACTGTTATCGGAATAATGACCTT